GTTGTCAAAGTTAATCTAGCCAAAAAGATAGAAAGGAACTAGGCTATTTTATAAATTTATTTTTGTTTTCTTGGTTAGGTTACCATGCCCTCATGCTGCAACTCTTCAACTGCTTTCGTAAAGCAGTTTTTCTCTTAAAAATATGTTAAATTCGAAGCGCTATGCTGTTATTGAGCATTGAACTCAAGATCTCTAACTAAATGTGTGAGCCCAACTGAACTAATGAAATAACATTAGAGCAGAGAGATGATAATGTAGAATCTTTAACTCATGAATGGAAAACTTAACTAAGTTTGTGTTTGGTTCAAGCGAAAACACTATAAACTGTATAGTAATTTAAATGGAAATCAGGTTTCAAATTTCAATTTTCTTTTATGGTTCTTTTTTAGAAAGTAAGAGTGGAAAGAATGGGGAAATGGAAAGGAGGAGAGGAGGGAATATGGAGGAAATCACGTCATTCCTTCCTCACAAAAGAAATATATATTCCATGTTGATGAAATTTATAGTTTAAACGACTCATTTGCCAAATAAAAGGGAATCAGATATTCTGTTGTAACTTGTAAGCATTTATTACTCTTAATATGAGCATATATGCGTATGCTGCTTGTGTTAATCTCTGATAATCCTTTTTTTTTTGTTTACGTCTATTGGGAGTAATAAAAATCCCTATTTTCTCAGAATTGCAAAGGTTTCTTAGATTTGATAAATTGCTTACACCTACCTATATGGTAAATTTATTGTAATGATATTTAAATGTATGTTTTGAGTTTTTGTTGATGATGGCTCCTTTTGTTTTACTGACTTAATGAAAAATTAAAGGCTTAATACCCGACTTTGATACAGTTATTTTGGCAAGATAATTAACCTTTTTATTGCACTGGTCAGGCATTTTTTTTTCAATTATGCTGTTGGTATTTTTGATGAAAAATACTTAAGACACCAATTTTATTTTTTTATTTTTTATTTTATAATATTCCACTAAGATTGTTAATTTTTCTTGTGGCAGGAAAAAAAAATATTTTCAAATTAGCTCAAGGAGAGTACATAGCACCTGAGAAAATTGAGAACGTATATGCCAAGTGCAGATTTGTAGCACAGTGCTTTGTATATGGTATGATTATACAAGGCAGCGGTTCTTTTAACCACACTGTTATATTTTATTATTCTTATGCTTGACATTTTCACAGGTGACAGCTTAAATTCCTCATTGGTAGCAGTTGTTGCTGTCGAGCCAGATGCATTAAAGGATTGGGCTTCAGGGGAGGGCATCAAGGTAGTTTACTAGTTTGTAATATTATTGTAGTTCCTCACATATTGCAATGCAAAGTTAGTGTTCATAAAACATGTTTGCTTGACACCTAATTATTTTAAATCATCATATTGTGCTGGGCTGTAAACTTAACTTCATCATGATCGTTATGTTCTTTTGGCGTCAATGACATAAGGGGTATTTGATTCCTGGATCTGAGTAGCCATTGTTGATTTGAGGTGATGTAAAAGAGTTAGACTAGTGTTAAGAATTTTAGAGTATATTATATGGATACCTGTCCAGGAGGTTACATAGGAGCTCCTGTTTGTATCCAGGCTCTCTTAGAATTAGAAGAATGGGAAAAGTACCAAATTACTCAAATTTGTTGGTTTGTTATTATAGCAAATTGTACATTTGTACTTGCACAAGATTGGTGAATTGTATACTTGCACCATCTTTTATTTTATCAATATGCTTTCTCTAGGTCCATAAAGTGCTGTGGATCGTGTTTTTTTGTTGATATGTACGGCAGACAATACTAGTTTATATCTGTTAATGGTAATTTGAATTGCATGGATGCAGTATGAAGATCTAGGACAGCTCTGTAGACATCCAAGAGCGAAGGCTGCAGTTCTTGCTGATATGGATGCTTTGGGAAGAGAGGCCGGGGTAAGTACTTCCATGGACTCCTGGTTTATTTTATTCCAACTGGCAGTTTGACCCTTTTCTAACTTCTCTTGATGGCTTTCAGTTGAGAGGGTTTGAATTCGTGAAAGCTGTGACCTTGGTACCGGAACCATTTACTGTCGAAAATGGTCTTCTCACTCCAACGCTAAAGGTTATTTTCTTCTCTCCCTCTTTCACGTGTTTACTACTGTAAAAGTAGGAGTCTTTTCACATGTTCTGATTGTCGTTCTGAGTTTTGAGATCTACTCCTACATATTAAGGGAGTGATAATGTGCCAAACTGAGCTTGAGCTTGAGCTTGTCTGGCTCTTAACTTCCTGGTTTCATTCAGTGCATTACCCAACTTTATCAGCTTGAATAACTTGAGCTTTAGTTACAAGGTCCAACTAGGAAACTACATTATCAAGTTGCAGACCTTGCCTTGTTTAAATTCCTGACTCTTTGATAATGGGTCTTTAATTATTTGTTAAATCTATATATCAACTTAATATAACTTTTACCTGTTAATAACTAAAGATAATAAACGGTTGAAATTATGCATTGGAAAGCATGAATTTAGAAGTGTAGTATCTAAAACTAGACTGAGGAAGTACATATATTCTTGCCTGCTCATGAGCTATGGTTCATTTAACATAGGTGATCAACTATGGCCCGGTCCGGAAAATTGGACGGGTTTGGCAAGCCTAAAAACACAGTTTTAGTTTAAAACTGAACCCGGCCTGAAAAGCCCACTTTGGCCTGACAAGCCCGGTGCTTTTTTTTTTTTTTTTTTTTGCTGGTTTGGGCATGCGATTTCATACTGAGTCCCGGCCTGACCTGAATTTTGATCACCTGATTCAAGCTTAGTATGACTCATCTTTAAAGTTAAGCTCACTCAAACCGAGAGCTGAACTTTAGTAGATCACATTCAAATTATGCTCATTACAGTGTGCCCCCATAACCACCCATACATATAATGCTGAGTGAGTTCTTCACTTGTCTAACAAAGTTCATATCCTTCTCAAACTTTGACAGGTAAAGAGGCCTCAAGCTAAGGTTTACTTTGAGAAAGAAATAGGAGAAATGTACGCTCTACTTTCGAAAGCTGACCCAACGCAGAGCAAATTGTGATGAAATTTGGTCCGTGAAATAAGTTTAAGGTAACAGTCCATTGGGAATAACTCGAGGCCAACATCCTGTCATTTGTCAAGTGATAACGAGGGAAGATTTGCTTGTAATCTCCCTGATTCTGCCAGTATTAGTATTTGTGTCAACCTAGCAGGATTATTAATTTATTTATTTATTATTTTGGGGATCATTTTCGCTCTAAAAATAGAAATAAAAAAATGTCTACATATATATTTAGTATATTAGCAGGTTTTTGGAAGGTGGCTTATTGTGCCTGCTATTTGTAATTTTGTATTACTCCGTAGCTTGCTATATGATGCACGCCTGCTGTGATACGATGCATGTTGTAACATTCTGTTAGAATAAACTGTACATGATTATACGTATTGAAGATTACATTACATGCCGTCTTATGTTGTAATTAGAATTAAAGACCATGTGTTGCACGGATCTTACTTAATACGAAGTACAATTAAAAAATATTAATCGACTAACATGATTTCCAAGATATTTGTAAAGGTATTTTATTATCCTAGTCACCTGTTTTTGTTAATTTTTTTTGTCGTGTTTCATATTCTGTCTTTTATACTATATTTTTTGATTTATAGATCACTTAGATCAGAGGTTGCAAGGCTAAAGTAATTGGGGAAAAATAGTGCTTTTTTGGTAAATAAAAATTGGGAAAAAAATTAGTGTTTGCAAAAGCTTTAGGAGAAATATATGGTTTATGGGTTTTCATCATAAGTAGCTCATTTCTTTTTTTTTTTTTTCAATTTTTTTTTCCTTCATGTTGTGTTAAACTTAGGCTACGTATGTTGCATAATCAACATGTGAATGAAATTATAAGGAAACTAGGACGTTGATGCCCTGGGTTCGCTCTGCAATATATATCCTTATGTTTTAAAAATCTTTACATTAATTGGCTGCTTATAAAATAATTATAAAGTAATAATTATTTTCTAAAAGGCATTATCACTAATGTCTAAATCTATCCATATTTGATACATTTGTTACTTTAACTGTTCACAATCGTATGAGTTATTTAATTTACGGTTTCATTGACATTTAAAAATTTGAGTACTCCTACACTTTATTCAAACATCTTAGTTCGAAAGTAAGTCTACAGCTCCTAGGCTTTTAGGAATTTTTTTTTTGAAAGAAGATTCCCTATTTGGAATTTTAATTCTAGTGGCGATGCTCGATCGGTTTGTTTATTGAATTTTAAAATAAAATTGTTATCTTTATGTTAAATTTTAAAACATATCATTGGTAAAAACATTATTATGTATGAGGTGTATATCTCGGCCTTTTATTTTTGGATAAAATAAATTTTTTATCTAAATACTAAATTTTAAAACATATCATTGGTACAAACATTGTTATGTAAGAGGTGTATATCCCTTTGGATTTTGGATATATTGACGTAAGATACCATTGATTTTGTAAGAGCGCAATATATATTATAGAAATATACACTATATATTTGAGAAATATTTATGTTATTCGAATTTTCTATTCATGGATTAATAATCACTTGACAATCATACTTGTAAAATGAAAAAATATAGTATTGCCGCTCATAAAGTTTTATGGTGTATCAAGTATGATTGTGATACTATATTTTATGTGTATAATAAAGTAAAAAAAAATAGAAATTATTGAGCGTCAAACAGTGCGTTGTAAGTGTTATTGTGCTTGCAGAAATTGAAGAGCTCTTTCCCAAATTAAAGTCAAGAAGAACCGCAATTCCAAAATTGCAGCCAAAGTTTTAAGAATTCCCAAAGTACCGTCCACGTCATCGGTTCAGGGGGAAGAAATTTTAAATCCGGTCTACAGCAAAACCGCTACCTGAAGTAACCACTACCTGAAGTAGCGGTTTTTACTAATAAACCGCTACTTCAGGTAGCGGTTTCTTTTTAATAAACCGCTACTTCAAGTAGCGGTTTTTGTTTAATAAACCGCTACTTCAAGTAGCGGTTTTTGTTTAATAAACCGCTACTTCAAGTAGCGGTTTTCTAGCAGGTATAATTTCCTGATTTCACTTTCCTCTTTCATTTTCGTCTTCTCACCAAAATCCCATCCACGCCTTCCACCAAAATCACACCTCCTTCAACGGAAGCCGGCGCAGCCAAGGAATCCACCGACGCCGCCGGAGCATTCCTCAGCAACGAAGGCCGCCGCTGTTGACGCCGAGGGTTCGACTTTAGTGGTCGGCTTCGCTAATTTCAGAAGAAACGTGCTGATCTTCTTGTTTGTGGTAAGTGCCCTAATTATTTTTTGTATTCAGTTATTGGGTTTGTTGTTGTTATTGAGTTTCAGAATTGTATGTATGTGTTGTTGTTGTTGGTTTTGGTTGTGTTGTTGTTGTTAGTGTTCTTGTTTATTGTTGTTGTTATTGAGTTTCGGTTTTGGTTGTGTTGTTGTTGTTAGTGTTCTTGTTTATTGTTGTTGTTATTGAGTTTCGGTTTTGGTTGTGTTGTTGTTGTTAGTGTTCTTGTTTATTGTTGTTGTTATTGAGTTTCAGAATTGTATGTATGTTTGTGGTTGGTTTTGGTTGTTGTTGTTGATTTACTTACCTTACATATAACCCTTGTAGAATTATTAATGGTTTCGATCACATTACTCAGTTTAGGTTGCTATAATTGCTGATTTTGAAAGTGAAAATAGAGCTTCTATACACAAAGTACATGAGCTCAAAGTACATGTAGTCATGACTTATGCCCATGTTGAGCTTCAAGAGGTATTAAGACCTTCATAGCTCAGTTTAGGTTGCTATAATTGTGTAGTTTGCTTGCTTGATGTTAGGACATTGCCACACTGTTAATGAATTTTTGCAATCTAATATCTTTGATTAATAATGGTCTTTTCTAGAATGAAACATGGAGGTTCCGAACTACCCTCTATATTGCTATTGGGGTGGAGAAATTGTCCACAAAGATAGCGATATAACGTATAGGGGTGGGAATCAAAAATTTGAGTTTGTACATTCTGCGATGACATATTCACAAGTTCTGAACAAGCTATATGAAGAATTGAGTGTTGATCCTAGAGGTGTGGAGTTGAAGGTGGTTATGCGTTATCCTATGGCTGGGGCATATGTTGCAATTCCGTTAAATGACGACAACGCTGTTAGAGCTATGTGGATTGCTGTGACTCAGAGTTCTTCTGTTGCAATGCAATTGTTCATTGAACAAGTTCCAAAGGAGCCAGTTGTGCAAACTAACACTGGTTCCTTTCCGGGGATGGATTTTTTTGGTAGTGTGGATCAACCGTTTTCCACTGGTGTTCAAAGTGTGGGCATAGGGTCATTCACAAGAATGCTTGTTGATCCACATTATGTCAATGACCATCTCTCACAGTTTAGGTCTCCGGCCTCATCGCCTAATGTTGGAACCTCGACAAGCACACAACCACAAGGCATTCTTGATTCTCTTGACCCAAACAATGTTGATGTATTTGGCGATGCAGAGATGAATGACACTGATGAGATGATGATGAAGAGGTAATTGAAGCTCGTGATAAGGCAATTAAAGGAAGCGCCCCCACTTCAGACTTCAATGAAGTGGCGCAAGTTGATCCTCGTTTGAATAACTCATGGATGTCTTTGTTAGGAAATGAGACATATAACAATGGGGGAGAATTTGAGGTTGGTCAGCAGTTTGACTCATTGCAACAACTGAAAGATGCTGTGAAATCTTACTCCATAGCTAGAAATCAAACAATTCGAGTTGTGGAGGCAGAGCCAGAGAAATATGTTGTTGAGTGCAAGAGGAAAGAACAATGTAGTTGTTCGTGGAGGCTTAGAGGAGTGAAAGATCCAACACTCTCTACGTTTAAAATTGTGAGGTACAACGGCCCTCATGCAAGTAACTGTGTTGGTGACATCGACTCGGGAGATCATAAGCTACTGACTTCCGAGTTCGTTTGCAATGCTCTTCTAGATGTCATTCGCGTTGATCCTTCATTGAAAATCAAGACAATGGTGCAACTTGTGAAAGAGAAATTTGATGGATTCCAAATAACCTACAAGAGAGCATGGCTAGCGAAACAAAAGGCAATAAAACTCATTTATGGGGATTGGGAGGGTTCATATGAACAGTTGCCTAAGTACATGCAAGCTCTCAAGGAATCAAATCCTGGAACTGTTGTTGAGTGGAGGTTGTTAGAGTGTACGGTTCCTGGAACACATGTTTTTCAACGAGTCTTTTGGGCATTCAAGCCATGTATTGATGGATTCCGTCACTGCAGACCCCTTATCACCATTGATGGCACTCATTTATATGGAAAATACAAAGGCACTCTACTCATTGCTATGGGAACGAATGCCAATTTTCAACTATTCCCCCTTGCTTTTGCGGTTGTCGAAGGAGAGAACAATGATATTTGGTCTTGGTTCATGGCTTGTATTCGTGCTCGAGTTACAGATAGGAAAGGGCTATGTGTGATATCTGATAGACATGCTGGTATTTTAGCAGCAATGGAAGAAGTTGGAAGTGGTTGGGAGGAGCCCAATGCCTACCACAAGTACTGTACACGACACTTGGCTTCTAATGTGAACTCAAAATTTAAAAGTGTCGTCATAAAGAACCTCTTTGGCAAAGCAGCTACTGCAAGGCAGAAGAAGAAGTTTGATTACTACATCAACAAAATTGGTGACTTGAATGTAGAGGCCCGTAGGTACTTGATGGAAATTCCGTACAGTAAGTGGTCCATTCATCATGATGGTGGTTTCAGGTTTGGTGTGAAGACTACAAACATGTCGGAAGTTTTCAACGGAGTCTTAAAGGGGGCTCGATGTCTCCCGATAACCGCTTTAGTGCAAATGACCTTTTTCCGGTACAATGTTTGCTTCAAGTTCATGTTCTTACAATTCTATCTTTCAAGAATTATTATTAACATGTCTTTACAGGTGGTTACGTGTCCATCTATCGTGTGCGCATACTGCTTCTGGACTACCATACTACAGAGATGCGTTTGACCATCAGCGCGAGGACCAGGTACAATCGGTGTTTCTTTTTTTTTATGCATTGTATTTCTTCCATTATGTTAGTCATATACATGTTGACATACTTGTTTTGGGAATTAGATGATTTGGCAGCCATATACTGAGGCGGTGATGGATCGACTTCCGGAGATTTGTCGCTCAGACATGCACATTTGGCGTTCACGGGCACCTCTGATATGCTTTGACGTCGTTGAGTTCCACCTCCCAGACCGAGTCCTTCGTCAGTTCGGGTTAGACCAGCCGATCCCACAGGATGTAGACACGGACGTTGCTCTACACAGGAAGGATCGAAGGGGACAGCGTAACTGGGAGATTCGGCATTCGGACCATGTACACGAGTGGAGTCGACGAGAGGCATTAGTCGTCCAGGGATACCCGTTCACTGGGACTTCTTCCCCGGCCATGACAGAGTACATGGCTTGGTACCTTCGCATCACGAGACTGGTCATTACTCCACCTTCGCAGGAGCGCCCCCCGAGTCATTACCAGCCAGCTACCTCTGACCTCCTGCTTGTATGAACTTCACTTCATTTCAATCTAGTTCTTACGTTTTTGATTTCATTTTACTAACATTAAAACTACACTTAAATGTAGGCACATGCATTTGCTGATTTGCACGTCCAGCTATCGGGAGCTACTAAGACCATCTCCCACTTGCCACCAGAGACGGCTATACCATTTGCCATACAGACGATGCAGGGTTTTACATCATTTTGTGGCCAAACCTTGTCTAGGGTGGGGCAGTCACACCTTATTCAGCAGCCTCGACCGTCCACATCTTCATCTTCTACTGTGCACACTATGCCGATCAGACCACCACCTCATCGTGGAGGCCATTCAGCACGTGCCTTCCGTCCACCGACTCCTTCTCAGCATACTATCATGACATCTCCTCCACTAGTGCATCGCCAGTATCAGAGAAACCGACGGCGTAGCAACACTACGTCTGGGGTTGGAGTTGGCCTGGATGACATTCCAGAGGAGACAGCTGCATCATCTTCATCGTCACCTCATGGGAAGAAGCAACGCCCGAGCTAAGTGTATATTTTGGAACTAAACTAATTTTTTTGTAAATGCTTAGAATTGGATTTTGTTATATTTAATCAATTGAAAAATATTCGACTTTGCAATTTCGACTTCCTTAGATCTTCATAAACTTGTTATTTATGGTGGTTGTGTTGAAAATATGCTATATATCTCATGTTTTACAGGTACACAACTTGCAGGTTTTTTTTTTGAGTGATTATGCAAGTTTGAAAAAAAAAACCAGTCCAGGGTAAACCGCTACTTCAAGTAGCGGTTTTTCAAAGTAAACCGCTACTTGAAGTAGCGGTTTTCCAAAATAAACCGCTACATAAAATAGCGGTTTTTTGTAAACAAACCGCTACTTCAAGTAGCGGTTTTAAACTAAGAAACCGCTACTTGAAGTGGCGGTTTATTGCAAAGAAACCGCTACTTCAAGTAGCGGTTTACCCTGGACCGGAAAAAAAAAACCGGTTTTTTAACCAGTGCTTACGTGGACGGTAGAATGGGAAAATAAAAAGATTTGGCTGCAATTTGGGAATTGCGGTTCTTCTTGACTTTAATTTGGGAAAGAGCTCGAAATTGAATGTTAATAAGTATCGTTGAGCAAAGGTGAGGTTAGGGTTTATATAAGAATCCATTTGTTTAATTAGTTTCCTCGTTGAATTGAATTATTATGTAGGATTTTTCATAGGTTAATACTCCGTAACTCAAAAGGAAATAATAGGAAGTGTTTACTTTTTATATGTATCTTATTATTAATAGAGAGGATGTTACGAATATTATCTCTTTAATTAATTTTGCTTGATTAATCCGATCCAACGAAAAAAAAAAAAATCCAATGCTGCATATTAGTATCTAAATATATATTGCTATAATCTTGATTGTACTTCGACATAAATTGTATGGAGTATGGAGTTTAGCAGTTCACTAAACGCTTATCACTAAACTTATGGGCTAATTCCACCCATTTCTTTTATATATTTTTTTTATTAATTTATTTTTTTTTTTAGGAAATTTTTTCATTTGCTCACTTATGTCATAATTTAGAAATTTTATGGGCTAAAATAGATTTAATGAAAGTTCATTATATTTATTGAAAGTTAATTATAATTATTGAAAATTATAAAGTATTGGTATTTTATCATAAAATTATATACAAATTTTATTGAAAATAAAACTCTAAACTAACTTTTTTATCTTACAAAATCTATCTAAAACTATCCAATATTTTTATCCTACGTGTCATACTAATAATTAATGGTTTCCTACGTGGCGCGCCACTTGGCAAAAAGTTGAAATACCAAATGTCGTTGTCTCGTTGTCTGGCTAAAAGTTTAGTTTTATATATTAGTTACTAGATGGAAGCCCGTGCGATGCACGGTTTTTCATCTAAGATTTTTAATTATTTGATTTATTTGATTTAATAGTTTCAGACAAAATTACAAAAGATTAATATTTTTTTATTATAATTTATAATGAATTTATTAAATATAAAAAAATTGTAAATATGATATTTTTTCTGTTATATAAAATCTTTAATGTGAAATGATAAATTTTTAATAATTTAAATTTACCATATCTTTTATTTCGATAGAATCACCAATCTCGTCCACAACCAACCTACTACATCAATGGATAATTTGAACCGTGAAATGTTAGCTAAGCTGAAATTGATATAAATTAAATCTTTACATTTATATAAAATAAATCAATTATTTAACAATAAATGAAAAATTGTTGCGATATAAAATCAAATCTATGCATTGGAATTTTTTCATCATCTCCAAAAATAACCAAAGCCATCCATATATTAAGTATACAAAATCAAATCGTATGCCATTACATAAACAAATAATCGTTAAATATCCTAAATAAATACAATGTAACTAATAATTACAAATATAAATTTAAGCATAAGATTTTAAAAATTACCCAAACATTGATGACCTAAAACTAACACAAAATTATTAACACAAAATTCGCTTGATGGGATTTTGTATTGATACGAAATTTTATTTGTGTCGTATGATGTGTTAGATCTGCATGTAAAAAACATTTAGTAAATAAAACATAAACATATAATTATTGAGTATCCCAAATTAATACAATGTAAGTACTAATTAGAAATACTAATTTAAACATAGGATTTTAAAAATTAAGCTAAATATTACCCGGCCATTGATGACCAAAATTTAACACAAAATTACTAACAAAAAATTCGCTTGATGGGTTTTTTTATTGATACAATTTTTTTTGTTCCGTATGATGTGTTAGATCTGCATGTAAAAAACACATTTAGTAAATAAAGCATAAACATATAATCGTTGAGTATCCCAAATTAATACAATGTAAGTAATAATTAGAAATACTAAAACATAGGATTTTAAAAATTAAGCTAAAAATTACCCGATTATTGATGACCAAATATTAACACAAAATTACTAACACAAATTCGCTTGATGGGGTTTTTTTATTGATACAAAATTTTGTTTGTGTCGTATGATGTGTCAATTTATAGTGGTAGGTATCACAAATTTTAATTTAATTATAATTAACGAACAATTTGTATTTCTTATCATAAATACTATCAAAATTTAACTTATAATGATAGGTATCAAAGTTTATTATCAGCGTTTATCATTTAAATATTTTTTATTATATTTTTTTTTGGATTTCATATACTCGTAGCATTGAATTAATAAATTTATCTTTTCCTATATTTTTACTTTATTTTTTTTCATTAAAATAATTTAATTCATGGATTATAATCTACGTGGCATTAAAATTTTAGATATATCAAATCTAATTCGTTACTTTTATCTAGGTGGCCGCATAATTTTTTAATTCAAAAATATAATACAAATCTTTCTCCTTATTGGTCGAAATAAGTATAGTTCTTATTTGGCGCTCCGAATGCTCTCTAAAAATGCCTACTTTATTTGATTTATTGTATTTAATAATTTCGGACAAAATTACAAAAGTTTAATAATTTTTTTTACTATAATTTGTAATGAATTTTTTAAATGTAAATAAATTGTAAATATGATATTTTTTCCGGTAGATAAAATCTTTAATGTGAAATGATAAATTTTTAATAATTTAAATCCCAAAACATTATTCATTGTTTTACCATATCTTTTATTTCGATAGAATCACCAACCTTGTCCACAACCAACCTACTACATCGTTAGCCAAACTGAAATTGATATAAATTAAATCTTTACATTTATATAAAATAAATCAATATATTTACCAATAAATGAAAAATTGTTGCAATATAAAATCAAATCTATGCATTGGAATTTTTTCATCATCTCCAAAAATAACCAAATCCATCCATATATTAAGTATATAATATCTAATCGTATGCCATTACATAAACAAATAATCGTTAAGTATCCTAAATAAATACAATATAACTAATAATTACAAATATAAATTTAAACATAAGATTTTAAAAATTACCGAGACATTGATGACTTAAAACTAACACTAAATTCGCTTGATGGAGTTTTGTATTGATACGAAATTTTGTTTGTGTCGTATGATGTGTTAGATCTTCATATAAAAAAATATTTAGTAAATAAAACATAAACATATAATCGTTGAGTATCCGAAATTAATACAATGTAAGTAATAATTAGAAATACTAATTTAAACATAGGATTTTAAAAATTAAGCTAAAAATTATCCGGCCATTGATGACCAAATACTAACACAAAATTCGCTTGATGGGGTTTTTTATTGATACGAAATTTTGTTTGTGTCGTATGATGTGTCAATTTATAGTAGTAAGTATCACAAATTTTAATTTAATTATAATTAACGAACAATTTGTATTTCTTATCATAAATACTATCAAAATTTATCTTATAATAATAGGTATCAAACTTTATTATAAGCGTTTATTTTTTAGTATATTTTGTTCGTATTTCTTATACTCGTAGTATTGAATTAATAAATTTATCTTTTCCTATATTTTTACTTTTTTTTCATTAAAATAATTTAATTCGTGGATTATAATCAACGTGGCATTAAATTTTAGATATATCAAATCTAATTCGTTACTTTTATCTAGGTGGCGAAATAATTTTTTAATTCAACAATAAAATACAAATCTTTCTTCTTATTGGTCGAAAAAAGTATATTTCTTACGTGGCGCTCCGAATACTATTTTTTCATTTATATTTCATTAATATATAATTTAATGCTATAATAATATATATTTATATTATTATATAATATAAATATTTAATTTAATTAAAATATGACATAATATATAATAATATTTTTAATTAAATTATTAATATTAATATTATATATAATATTAATATTATATATTGCGTATAATTATAATATATAATATTATATATAATTTTATATTACTATTATAATTATATAATATTATAATTATTATATTATAATATTATAATAATATTAATATTATTATAATATTAATATTAAATATTATATTATTATTATGAATATATTAGAATATTAATAATATATTAATATAAATTGTATATAAAAATAAATTATAATAAATTATAAATTTAATAAAAATAATATAATAATTATTAAATTTATAATTTATTAATAATTGATTTTTATTTGAATTTAATTATTAATGTTTAATGTATTAAATATTATAATATTATAATTTAAATATTATATATTAAATATATTTTATAAATTATATATAATATATAATGATATTATAATATATATTAAATTAAATTTAATTAAATTTAATATTATTTTTTTAGATGCAAAAAATTTATGATGGAAATAAAATGAGTTATAGGTTATTAAAAGTTATGATTAATTTTGTATATATGAAATATTAGAATTCTATAGATAATAAAACTCTATACAACAATTTTATCTTAAAAAATCCATCCAAAAATTGCTTACTTAGCACACCATACGTGTCACAATAATACCTATTTTATCTCCTACATGGCGCGACACTTGGTGAAAAACTGAAATGCCAAGTGTCGCTGTCTCGTGGCCTGGCTTTGAAACGGCTTTATTTATTAGTGATATGATATTAGATTGACTCAACTCCAGGGACATATCACATCTTCAATATGCTGTTATTGGT